TGCTATAAAGAAAAACTACTCACACAAGTCATATCTTGTGCAGGTGGGTGTGGTTGTGGGTGGAGTCAAAGATGACGTACATTGAATAGGTTGATATGGGAGGAGTACCAGCAACACTGGTTAATATTGTGTCAAGACGTCAGCCATTAGCAGTGGCATATTTATGTGATTATTTAGAAACAACTAGTTTAAATTCAAATAGAAATGGAAGAGAAAGTAGACCCAGTTTATTATCAGGTACTGATTCACCTAGTGATCTAACTATGATGTATAAAACATATGTATAATGTATTATAGTGTACACTAGGAACATGTGTATGTACTAGTATATAATGATGATTATGATATTTTGAGATTTTCTACTTTTTCTTTAATTTCAAAATTTTGAATTAAATAAATCTATTAATAACAATAATAATTGATAGTTGCTTAAAGTAGAGAGAGAGAATCATGTGTGTGAAAGAGGGATAAAAGTCTTTCTAGTATCTAGTTTATTCCAGTTTTCCAGTTTTATTGGAGCGACTACTTTAATATTTCATTATACGTTTGTTATAATAATCAGCAACATAAATGTATCCATCCTTATCCAGTGCTACACCCCATGGACAAGATAATCCTGAGATTAATTTGACTTGTTTCCTGTCAGGACTCAAGACATGAAGATAACTGTTGTTACATGATACAAAGATATATCCTTCATCATCAATAGCAATACCATCAGGACTACTAAAGTTACCAGCTGGATTATTGTATGTATCAAGATGAGTTTTACCATCAGGAGAGAAGACTTGAACATGATCTTGACTCCAATTGGTAATGTGCATCTTTCCTTCATTATCAACTGCTACATCAGTTGCATCACCATCACATTGCATGACTTGTACAAATGTACCATCTTCTTTAAACACTTGTACTCTACTGTTGTTGTGATCAGCTACTAATATATTACCTTTACCATCAGTAGACATACCACGAGGATTAGAGAGTTGTTCATTTCCATTACCTTTACTACCAAACTGACCAATATACTGACCAGTAGTAGCTGAGAAACACTGCACACGATGAAGAGTATCATCAGACACATAGAGCCTGTCTCCTACCAGCAATAAACCCCAAGGCTTGCCAAACTGTCCATTACCATTACCTTTAGATCCAATCCTTCTTACTGCAGTACCATCGTCACCAAATACCTGAACAAAGCCATCATTACTACTAGCAAATACTTCACCATTAGTATGAACAGCAACACCGTGATTATAATACCCTACACTAAAGGATCTCTGGTTAGTTAGTGTGGTATAGTCTCTTGATGCTTTTACTGACAGTTGATAAGGACTACCTTTAATATGGTGACCTCTTATAGTCACTGATAGTTCGTATCCACCAATACTTTGAAGTGTGCATGATACAATGGCTGTGTTCTTATCATTAACTATAACAACTCTACCCTCCTCTTTACTGCCATCACTTTTGATGAAGGAACCCTTCAAATAGCTTGCTGGTAGAGACACTTTGAATTTCCTTTCTTTCTTTACTGTTGCCAGTGGAATAGCTAACCCACTATCAATGGAGTATGCATCTACATCTATATCTACCTCAGAGACACTTCCAAACTCATTGATTTCTTTACTTAAAGTAGACGTATCTAAACGCGTTAAAATGGCTCCTTTGTCTTCTATTTCTAGAGGTAGTTTCTTATACTCTTCAATGCATTCCTCTAGTTGATTCGTGATTAACTTCTTAACACTGAGAACCTCACCTGGATCAGTACGCTCACTCACTGATGATGCAAGATCACGACCATGAGAAACCTGTTTTACCAGTTTACGAAACCCGTCCAACTGCTTCTTGACAGATTTCCTCTTAGCCCTAGCAATCTCTTCTGTCCCCATTAGTAGATCATTGCATCTCTTATCTAAAGCAGCTTTAAGCTCTTCAAATGTTTCCTTGATTTCCTGCCTTACTTCTTCTTTACGTGTTGCTATCTGCTCTAGCATCTTCTCTCCATTAGCAATAGCTTTAGTGACTTTAGGAATGACTCCATCACAACTAGCAACACTTTCCTTTAATGCTTTACGTGCTGTGTCACCTTCATCAAGGTAATAATTGTAATTGTGACTTTTATGCTTAACATTGAGACAAATTGGACAAACCAGTTTATTGCAATCGTTGCAATAGTACGTCAGCTTTTGGTCTAAATGACGTGCACAGTAAACTGCCTCATGCTTAATAGCAGGCAATTCTACAGATTCCTTTGCTTCTAGACAGATTAGCTTGTGATCGGCTTCTTTCTTGCTTCGTTTATGACTTTTTTTACAATGCTCACACAGGAACAGGCCACAATCACAGCAATACACTACAGCTGCATCACTGGAATCATCAACGCTACATTTATCACACGGTATTGCTTCTTTGCTATCAATTTTCTTTTTGATCGAAGCCTCTCTTGATTTATGTCCAAACCAAAGGTTTTGAGTGAGACCTTCAATTTTACCATCAGGTAAATTAACGCTAGTGTCACACGTCGGACACTTTAATGAGGTATCAGGACTACCTTGCTTCCCTTTAGCTTTTATTAGACACTTCTTACAGAATGAGTGAAGACAGGGAAGCATGAGGGGGTCAGTGTAATACTCTGAACAAACCTCACAAGTCATACTTACAGTAACGGTTGGACTTTTGTTTCCCATTTCCTATAAATAAAATAAATCATTACAATACCACTGAGTCTGAAGTATGTTACTTTAAGAATAGTTCTTAGTCAAAATTAAAAGCAGGAGAATAGGTGAAAATGAACAGAAGATACTCCGCGATCGGCCGCAGCCGCTAGCAGTACCCCTACCTTAAAGTACCTTTATTTATTAAGTGGGCGGTTTACTGGTTGCAATCCGGCATCAGCACATGGCGTCCAATGGTGATGCTGGTTTCAAGGTCTCAGTGGAATCACTCCATACTACAAGAGTCAAGGAGATCAACTATGATGGAGAAGAGATATATGAAGGGTAACAGTCATTTATTGTAATAATCCAGAATTTACCATTTCTTCACTCATAATAAAATAATTATTATTTATTTTGTAAATAATATAGACTATTATGGTAGTCTGGTTAGTCATAGCATCCAAATCATAGGCGTAGGAATGATTCAAAAGTTGGGGGGGCTCAACATTAAAAAGCATGACTTAGCATGTGAACAT